CCCCCCCCCCCCCCGTTAGTGTATTTTTTTTCTTCGTATTACATTAGGGCGGGAACAGAAGATAGTGGCGGAGTCGCTCGTCTTGTCCTTCCTGGCACAAGCTGGTGCCAGTGAATGCGCCCGGTGCCACGAGGGCGAATGTATTCGCGCGCCGTCATGTGGAGATGTTCTTGGAACTTACGTTGGAAATCTAAGCGTTGACATTCATCCCTCTCTGGTCGCGCGAACTCCACCTGGCCGTCGCCGCCCCGGCCTGTGTTTCCGCTCCCGTCTAGGGAAACTGCTTTGGGCAGTTGTTTGAGGACGGGGGAGGGGGAGAGGACGACGAAGAGGACGACGACGAGGACACCGCGGACGGCAACGTTGCCTACGCAGCGTGCGACCTCGTCGGAGCGTTCGCGAAGGTCGGTCGAGCGGTTGAGACGTGACGTCATCACGGGGAGGATTACACGCCTTGTTTCCGAGTGCAGTGCAGGTTGTGCTAGATGCACAATATTGTTTTGTAGACTTCTGTTCTCGACCACCTAGTTGGAGTGAGATGTTGGTGTATGGGGGAAATTTGGTCCCTGACGCGGTGAACAGTTACATGCTGACGCCGTGCGCGTCGACGTGATCTGGAAGTTTGCCAAGTACTTTTTCAGGGTGATTTTGCTGAAAGGTGTTATCTGAGTGATTCTAGGGTTTCCAACAACTCGTTAACTACTTAGTTGTTTCTGGTGCTGGAAACTGTACGCTGTCTTGCGCCTGTGGGTGCCATGTGCCATATCTGTCTCTTGCCCCCAAATACCGACGCACGATTACTTACCCTGCAGCCAATATGTGCTGCCGTGACTTCATCGATGATGGATGACCCCCACCCCTCCTCCGAATGCATCAAACGTCCCATGCCCTCCAGACCCTCTGCCTCTGGTGGGTTTGCTAATCATAAATAACATTCCTTGCACGGACCCTGCCACACCCCTTCAAAAAGGTGATCGGCCCATCGTTCGCCGAGTCCTTCGATGTCTTCCTGCCGAATATTCTCAAGTACACCAAGGGGTCGAGACCGGCCTCGGACAGGTCGATGGCGGTGGGCTGCTTCGCTGAAGTTTTCGAGTCCATTGGCCCGTGAGTATTGTACTCATGTTGTAATTGCGCCAAAGCCGAACTGTTTGTGTAGCTCAAAAGTGCTGCCTTTTGTAGCTCGTTGGTTTATGGCAGGTTGAACGGGTCGTTTGAGCCGCAGGCGTGCGTGGGCGAGTGAAAGTTGCTGGGCAAGATAAGGGAGCAATAGGGGCAGAGGTTGTGAAAGACATCCATGAAATAGGTACAGGTGCTTAGTTCTCTTCATTAGAGGCGAGAGTTATAAAGGTGTAGCATGGGCCGACATTTTTACGGCCAGTCAGTCCCGTACTGCTGTATTTGTGAAAATCGGACCCGAGTTATCTCGAAGCATCACTCCTTCTCATAAGTTTTCCCCCTCCGCGCACCCGTTCCACTCGATCCGACACCGGCATGGCATCTGTACTTTGATGGCAACAAAACAATCTCAACTCTCAAGAGCTTGCGCTAAATACGTTGGTCAAGTGCTACCCATAATCAAGCTTAGCTTGGTGGACTCCAGCGCGGGGGTGCGACGGAACGCCGCATTCTGCGCAGGGACGTTGGCTCAGGGGGGAGGTGAGCAGTTTGGACGATTTTTGGGGTATCTTTAGTTTTATCATTGCGTTTGGGTGGACCATGCATGACGGCTGTGACAAATGAAAAGAAAGCGTAGATCTTGGTGAGGCGAAAACAAGGATAAGGACTGTTCGTGGCGATTGTTTGTCCCGCCCTTGAGAGCGTTTGCTCTGATCTTTCAGACAAGCTGAGTCACGGGAAAAATACCTCGATCCTGTACGTTCCATCTATTTTTCCCAGCTCAGTCACGTACACTTCCCTCTCCTTCTTGTACAACGGACATTCCGCGACTACATGAACACGGTCTTCGCATTCGAAGCCGCAATCACATTTGAACTCGTCGTCTTCCTCGTCTACCGTCCTATGTCTTCGTCGACGTTCTCGAAGGCCTATGTC